GAACCCTGTCCCCTGGCCGGCACCTCCTCTGCCCTCTTCAGGGCTCATCCAACGGTTATAGCAAGTCTGGTCAAGGACCTACACCAATGACATCCTGTTGTCCCTAAGAATCACCCTCTGGAGGACACCCAGGGGCTCCTGACACAACAGCCAGAGCAGCCGCAGCAGAGAGCCCAACTCTAGCCACAGCTCCCACAGCTCACCTCTCTGACCAGGTCCCTGCCACAGGACAGGCTGGCTGAGAGCTTGTGCCTGGCACGCACAGCAGCTGTACAGCTGGCTGGCTGGCGGGAGCAGCTTAGGACTTGGTTGAGTTTTCTCACCAGATGGCTCTGGTCTACCGTACTATTTACAGAACTAAGGAGTGGAGAGCACAGCCCACCTCAGGGGACAGAAGAGCAGTCCAATCCCAAGTCCTCACGGTGTGACATTACTGAGTGTGTGACTTACACCCGACCTTCAGAGAAGCTGAGCAATCACAGCTCTCTGTCGGGAGAAGTGAAGCTTCAGAGATGAACTGGGCAGAGCAAAACCTACTTACAAATAAGCCAGGTTCTACACCGGGTCTGAGGAATCCTTTCCATGAAGTTGAACAGATCTTCAGAACAGCTGGGAGATTTTTACTTATCTTTTGTTTTCATTTTTATTTATTTATTTATTTATTTGAGACAGAGCCTCAAGCTGTCCCCCTGGGTAGGGTGCCATGGCATCACAGCTCACAGCAACCTCCAACTCCTGGGCTCAAGCGAGTCTCCTGCCTCCACCTCCCAAGTAGCTGGGACCACAGACACCCACCACAATGCCCAGCTATTTTTTTGTTGCAGCCGTCATTGTTGTTTGGTGGACCCGGGCTGGATTCAAACCCGCCACCTTAGGTGTATGTGGCTGGCGCCTTAGCCACTTGAGCCACAGGCATCGAGCCTATCTTTTGTTTTTAGTTCCTTTAAGGATCAGGAAGATAGTGAAGACCAAGCGTGGGATGGGCATAAACCCACATGGCCCTGTCCACTTTCCGCCACAACAACCAGTGGAAAGTTAGATGGCCGCTCACCCTGGTCAGGGGGCAGCCCTGGGGTAAGATGTGCAGGCCCCACAGGCCCAGTGCAATGCTGGTCCTGGTCCCTCCTACTCAAAGGAGCACCCAGTGGCCAGTCAAATACACAACACAGCCAGGTGACCTCATCCCCTCTCCAGACTGTCCACAAACCACCACGCCCAGGGCTCATGTGGAGACCCGTCATGAACGTGAAAGGGATGGTTCCTCTGAAGGAAGGTCAAGCTTCCTCTGTCCCATCTGCTCACAAACTCACACCACGCTGACTTAACAAGCTCTGTTTCCACTTCGTGCAAGTGGGACTTAAACCCAGAAGAGAAATTGCCAAGGAGGACACAGCAGCTGGTCACTCTAGCCACCTCGGCCCTGCTGGCTCTGGCCCTGACCCAGAGCCAGCCCCACAGACCCTGGCTGGACAGTCACTCCCCAGAAGTAGAACAAGATTTGAGGCTCTAAAACTGTCTGCACCATGTGCCCACTACAAGGAACCAGCTTGTTTGCTGAGGGGAATGAAGTCCCCCGCTCAGCCCTCCCCAGGCCCTGGCAGAGGCTCCTTTATGTTTGGCTTCTGTCACTTGTGACCAAAAAAAAAAAAAAAAATGCCCTAATTATGAAGAGATCACATCAGGAATGTTTAAAAGCACAGAATCAGGCAGACACAGGAGCCAGCCCTCCCATCAACACCTCCCGAGGCCACTGACCAGCCTCTGCAAGCAATCGGGGCAGAGGAGCTATTCCCACTCATTCCTCCCTCCCACTCCACGCCTCAGAGCACCCAGCGGCCAGCACCACGGCATGCAGGATGGACCACAGGACCCACTGCTCCCGTCCTGCAGGTGTGTGCAGCCTGGGTGGGCACCGAGGCCCCCTGCAGCGCCATCTGCCTCTGCCCCTCACTTCCCGCGCTAAGGCCTGGTGCAGCTCAAGTCCTGTCTTATTTCTGCAGGTCTATTCCATTGCTTTGTGTTTCTCAAGATCTTTGAGCCACTGATAGTGGTCCTTTGAGGTGAAAGGAGGGGAGCATATGGCTCGGGATTCACGCTTGGCACACCCATTATCTATGCTGTGTAACAAAATGTACCTTAGTGCCTAGTTTCCGGGTCAGCTGGTGGTGCTGGGTCTCCTGTGAGGTTGCAGCAAAGATGTCATCAGGGCTGCGTCACTGATGGCTGGACTGGCTTGGAGGGCCTGCTCCACACCCGGCCAGCGAGGAGTGGAGAGCCTGCAACCGCCCCACAGGGCTGCGCCAGCCTCCTCTGGGCACAGAGCCTGGCTTCCCCTGGGCCTGCCATGCAAGAGACAGGGGGTGTGGGACCACCTGGTGACAATGCCACACAGTCCCTCCTGCCACCCCCTACAAAGTCACTAAATGGAGCCCACACTCAAGAGGAGAAGAACTGGGCTCCATCTTTTAAGGATTGTCAAAAAGCTTGTGGACAAATTTTTTAAACAAACATACTTTGTCACTTGACTGGATTTTAGGCCCTAGGGAGGTGGACTCAAGTCTTCTGCCACGTTGGTCCAATTGCCCCCGTGTGCTGGTCTTAACTGTCAGTCTGCAGGAGGGAGGGAGAAAGTCCCCCCTAATTCCCTCAGATGCTAACACACACCAGAAAGAGGACTGCAGGTCTCTGGGGGATACCTCTGACCCTTGCACAGTTCGGTACACACAGAACGTCCTGTTCTCCTGTCAGCAGGCACCATGTGGAGAAAAGCTTGTACGGTTCAGCAAAGCTGGGGAAACTAAGTTAAGCAAGACCCCATGATCTTCCATATGCAAATGTTCACCACAAATCTGTGGGAGGGGACACGAAAGGGAGTGGCCCAAAGTGACAGCAGAACCCTTTGGTAATGAACCATTTCACAGAGACTAGTACTCCTCAGAACACCCACTGGAAGAGCACTGGCCTGGAACTTGACATGGGAGTTACCACACCAAGGCCCTGGGTGAGCAGGGAGCCCCGAGGCCGAGCCCTGGGCCGTGCTGGACGCAGGTGGCTGAAGCTGCAGCTGTTCACTACTCTCTGAAATGGCCAAGTTCATGCCAACCTCCCGTGACCTGAAGCAGATCACACCTATCTACATTTCATGCTTAAAGCAGCATAATTCACAATCGCAAAGACGTGGAAACAACCAAGTGCCCTTCAGTGTGTGAATGGATTAATAAAATGTGTTGTATACCATGAAGCACTTCTCAGCCATAAAAACGATGGTGAACTAGAACCTCTTCATTAACCTGGATGGAATTGGAGACCATTCTGCTAAAATACAGCATCATGAAGCCTTCTGGTGCCTCACTCAGTGCACGTGGAATACATCACTTCTTTTCTATGGAGATGGCCCAGGATAGACCAAGTGTGCCCACCCAAGTCACCTGCTGAACACGATCACAAGATTCCGAACCCAAAGACAAGCTATTTTCCTCTTCAGATGACAGTGGCAAGAGTTTCTTGAAATGTTCATGGAGGGACGAAAACAAACCACTGCTCTCCCAGGTGAGGGGCTGAGTCTTAGCAGACACACACTTCTTCCAGCCACGGAAGAGAGGCAGTCCCCTCGAGGTGTGATGACGCACATGACTGCCTCTTCCAGTCACCACGCATGGAAGTAGAGGACAGGACTGTACTTTCCACAAATTCAAGTACATGTGAGTCCCCCACCCTCCCTTTCACAAGAATGGAAAAACAAACACCACACGTTTTAAGTATTAAATTGGAAATAATCGGCCACACTTGCAATCCTAGCGCTCACAGGAGGGTCCTCTGAGCTCGGGAGTCCGGTATGAGCAAGAAACTCAGTCTCCACTAAAAAAAGAAGATTTAGCCAGGTGTTGTGGCCCCTTGGAGGGTGAGGTAGGGGGACCACTTGAGCCCAGGAGTTTTGTTTGTTTTTTGTTTTTGGCCCAGGCTGGGTTTGAACCCGCCACCTCTGGCATATAGGGTTGGCGCCCTACTCCTCTGAGCCACAGGCACCGCCTGAGCCCAGGAGTTTGAGGTTGCTATGAGCTATGATGCCACAGCACTCTAGCCTGGGCAACAGCAAGACTCTGTCTTAAATAAATAAATAGGAACTGGTGGATCAACTCTTATGTGCACATGCAGAAATAATATTCATTGGAAATCAAGCAGGTGGGGGGATGGGTGGACTCACACCTAACAGGTGTGATGCCCACTACCTTGGGGAGGGCCACACTTAGAACTCTGACCGAAAAGGTACAAAAGCAATTTATGTGACCAAAATGTCTGTCCCCCTGTAATATTATGAAATAATAAAAAGAGTACATTTTCATTTTATGTGAGTTACACCTCACTAAAACTGATTTTTAAAACAATCAAAGATGTGAGCAGTACTGTGGGAAAACAATGTGTTACTTCACCTGAAGGGCTCTGGCAGAATCCCGTCACCGGCCTCAACTCTGACCCCTGCCTGGCACAAGCAGGCCTGGGACACCCAGGCACAGGGGGTGAGAGCTGGACCCAAGTGCCCAGGACCTAATGCAACTGGCTGGGGCCGGTGGCCAAAACCCTCTGGATGCCCACAAAAAACAAAAAAGGACATTTAAGTAACATTCTCTTTTTAATGTTCCATCCTTAAAAACGAACAATTTCGGCTCGGCGCCTATAGCTCAACCGGCTAAGGCGCCAGCCACGTACACCTAAGGTGGCTGGTTCGAATCCCCAGCCCGGGCCCGCCAAACAACTATGATGGCTGCAACCAAAAAAAAGCCAGGCGTTGTGGCGGGCGTCTGTGGTCCCAGCTACTTGGGAGGCGGAGGCAGGAGACTCGCTTGAGCCCAGGAGTTGGAGGTTGCTGTGAGCTGTAATGCCACGGCACTCTACCCAGGGGGACAGCTTGAGGCTCTGTCTCAAAAAAAAAAAAAAAAACGAACAATTTCCATTGACAATGACCATTTAGAAATGAATCTCTAAATAACCCTCAAAACCAGTAGATCAGCACACATTTTAATTATTGAAATAGAACAATACTTGACAGAAGCCGGCCCTGGGATATCTGTGATATTATCACGCTCCCTACATACATTTTAATCCTAAAGCTAACACACAGTTTACTTAAACATCTCAGGCTTGAGTTTCCTCTGTGCAGTGGGAAACAGACCCCCCCAGAGCTTAGGAATCATCTTGCCCTTGTAAAACATAAAGGCAACTTTGGGTTTTTATAAGATTATATAAACTAGGCATAACTGTATCTCAGAATTGTTAAGGAAAAAAATAATGTACCAAATCTTGTTAAAATTCAAAAGCTAGATTTCAAAATAACCTATAAACCTCACACGGAAACAATACTAACACAGAACATATATAAATTAATTATGAACATACACCACAATCTTACAGAGACTCTAAAGGGGGTGGTTTGGACCACGCAAAATGCCACAAACACCTAAACATAAGGCACAGGCTCCAATCAAGGTGGGTCCTTTATTCTGACAAGGAAGTGGCAAGCAACTCAGAGTGTGCTGTCACGTGCGCTCTTCCCACACCTTTCTCCACCGCAAGGTGTAGTTTTGGGAGGAGAAAGTGTCTTGTCTGGTTAGCTGGGTTATCTATCCATTATGACACCTGCATACAAAGGAAGCATGGCGGCATCACACCCAGAACAGAGTCTGCGGAGCTGAGTGTCGGGAGGTGGAATGCTCACCTGCATTTAGACGAAAGCTTCACTCGCACAATGTGGGGCTACTGGACTGCGAGTCTCTATCAACTAAGAAAAAATACAGGGGCCTGTTCACATTTCCAAGATGCTCCTATGTAAAAATCAGTTCTAGCTCCTTTCATTAAACAATATTCTGATCAAATAATCTTGTACAGGAAAGGTAATTTAACCTCAAGTCTGCCATACAAAAGTTAGAGAAAATGATTTATTTTCCATCAGTTAAACCATGTTCGGGACCTTCACAAGGCACATGTCAGTTTCCAGGGAGCAACACTATGCCGTCTGTGTCAGAAATTTCACGTACTGTTCCCGGGCATCGAAATGGTCAGCTGGCCGGTTGTACGCCGTCCACACTGGGTCTCCCACAAACAGCCTCATGGCCTTCACGTAGTTCTAGAAAACAGACAAACACACCAGCATTTCATTAAACCTGTTGCCTTTCCACTTACTCATAAAAATTTACTAACATAAGTGGAAATACTTTCCTTGCTGTTTTTATTCTGTCTTGACAGTTTCACGTGATGTTTTACCCACTGAAGGAGAATTAGTGCCAGGTGCTGTGGCCGATACTGACAAGTCACTCTGCTCTGGCAGGTGCTCAGTGTCACACTCGCTCTACTAGCACGTCCCAGGAAAACCCGCTCACCTCCAGCCCACTGAGAGATGAGGCAGATGCTGTCTGCCATCCCTACACTCCAGATATGAGAATGGTGGCACAGACAGGCCATGTCACTGGCCCAATCTCACCCAGTAAGACTGCCCCAAACACATGCCAGCCCCACGTCTACACCCACCCTGGTACACACACACTGCCCTCTGTTTTCCTCAGGTTCAGTTTTCCTAAGATTCACACTAGGGCCCTCACATCGCTGGTAGGCAAGAGAGGAAAGTCTGGCGCCATTCATCAGAACAAATGCACACTCTTAATGCAGTTTTCACTTTTAGGAATTTATCCTACAGAAAAATGCACTTAATATATGTATAAAATGACCAATATATAAGGTTACTGGGGGACTGTTTACAAAAAACCGGAAATAGTGTATCTCCCATCACCAGAGATCACCCACTCCGTGGAATGAACTAATCGTTAAACAAACCAGTTAAATAAGCCAGCAATGGCATTATCTGCAGCAGGAGGCCCTTTACACATGGTATCAAGCAATCCCCAAAGCACATCACATAGGAAAAAGTGAGGCCCACCAGGCAGATGGTCTGCTGCCTCCTATGTAGAAAGGAAAGCACCAAGAACACTGACTCAACTGGACTACGCACAAAATCTCTAAAGGGTGGGCAGCACTGTGGCTCAGTGGGTAGGGCGCCAGCTCCATATACCGAGGGTGGCAGGTTCAAACCCGGCCCCGGCCAAACTGCAACAAAAAAACTAGCCTGGGGTTGTGGCAAGCGCCTGTGGTCCCAACTACTCAGGAGGCTGAGGCAAGAGAATCGCCTAAGCCCAGGAGGTGGAGGTTGATTTAAAACGATGTGCACTTATCTACATGAAAATTGTACTTAAACCCTGGTTTAATCCTAATCACATCTAGAGACCCCAAGAACAATCTTATTTACTTCTGTTTTTATTGCCAACACCAATGGCTGCACTACTGTTAAACTCTAAATGGAAATGCTCTGAACAATGACAAAGTAACACCCAACAGTCCCCTCACAATATGCCCCTAGAATTAGTGGCCAAGCACAGGTTGGACACTCAGTGCAGGGGGGCCCTCACTCATCGTCTCACTGCCCTGTGTGTGTTAACACGAGAGCCACTGTCCGCCAAGAACAAAGCAGGGACTGCTGATAGCTGCCATGAAATGGCGTCACCCAGGTGTCCCAGCAACAGCTCCAGGTGTCTCTCTCTTGATGCACCAAGTGACAGGAGTCCTGAGGGCCTGTCGCTCTCACGCTGCACAGCTAGCAGGACTCTGCCATGCCAGACTGGGTCAGACTCACACACAAGCACACGCTCCCACCTGCTCGTCCACTGTGAAGCGGTGATAGATCCCCGCGGGGAGCGTGATCATGTCCCCTTTCTCCATGTGGATCCGGATCCATTTGTCCTCTGCGTCGCGTACGTCGAAGTACCCGCTGCCGTCCAGGATGTAGCGGATCTCATCGTCCAAGTGTAAGTGCTCCTCGTAAAACATCTTAATCTGTGCAGGAGGGACACCTGACTAGTCCACTGCAGACCAACCCCACATATTCACACAGACACACCCAGTAGCTGAGTGTTCAACAGACCGGAAATGAGGCAGAAAGGCTTCCTCTCTATAAAAATGAAAACTGCACTGCTGAACACTGTCTCTGTAGTAAGTCTAAGGGGTGGAGCGAGGATCAGCAGAGGGACAGTGACACAAATTGCAGCACGGCCGGCAACGCTCCAAACATCCACCAAGGGCTCACAGCACAATGAGGCAGGCACTCTCTGCCGTCCCCACTCTCCAGATGAGAGAATGGTGGCACAGACAGGCCATGTCACTGGCCCAACCTCACCCAGTAAGACTGCCCCAAACACATGCCAGCCCAGGTCTACACCCACCCGGGTACACCGCACACAGCAAGCTCCACAGCGCAGGCAATATAGCAAGACACTTCTCTGTAGAAGGTTCTTTTCTTTCTTTTGTTTTTGTTTTTTTTTTTGAGGCACTCTCACACTGGGTTGAGTGCTGTCACAGCTCACAACAACCTCAAACTCCTGGGTTCAAGCAATCCTCTTGCCTCAGTTCCTGAATAGCTGGAACTACAGGTGTCCACCACCACACCACCTAGTTTTTCCATTTTTAGTAGTGGACACTCATGCTCAGGCTGGTCTCAAACTCCTGAGCTCAAGTGATCCATGCACCTTGGTCTCCCAGACTGCTAGGGTTACAGGCGTGAGCCACCAAGCAAGACCCCAAGGTTTTTTAAAAAACTTCAACCCTCCAGCCTAGGCTGCAGAGTGAGACTCTGTCTAAAAAAGAAAATAGAAAAAATTGAAGTCAGTGACCTCAGCTTCTACCTCAAGAAAATAGAAGAGCAAAATTAAACCAAAGTACATATAAGAAAGCAAATAACAAACAGCAGAAACCAATGAAATAAAAATAGAGAAAGAAAAAAAAATTAATGAATCCAAAAGTTCTTTGAGAGAATCAATAAAATTGATAAGCATCTATCCACACGCAGGAAAAAGACCAAAGGCACAAATTACCAATAATTACAAAATTACCAGAAATGAGAAGACAGCACTATACACTCTGCAGATGTTGAAAGGACAGCAGAGAATGTTCCAAATAACTTTGACAGCAATAAATTTGACAACTCGGATGAAAAGAGCAAATGCCTTGAAAGACAAAAACTACCAATGTGCATTCAAGAAGAAACAGATGGGCTGGCACCTGAGGCTCAAGTGGCTAAGGCGCCAGCTACACACACCAGAGCTGGCAGGCTCGAATCCAGCCCGGGATCCCAACAACAATGACAGCTACAACCACAAAATGGCTGAACACTGTGGCAGGCACCTGTAGTCCCAGCTACTTGGGAGGCTGAAGCAAGAGAATCACTTGACCCCAGGAGTTGGAGGTTGCTGTGAGCTATGATGCCATGGTGCTTTACCCAGGGCGACAGCTTGAGACTCTGTCTCAAAAAAAAAAAAAAAAAAAAAGCAACAGATCATATGAATAGCCCTCCATCTATCACAGACACTGAATCTATCTATAGTTAAATATCTTTCCAGGATGAAAACTCCAAATCCCGGTGGCTCCACTGGCCAATCTCCAAACATAAAGAGAAAATAACACCTATATACCTTCAAAAAAAAATGGAAGAGGACTATGTTCCTGTTCATTCTGTGAGGACAGCAGCGCTCTGACCAAAATCCAAATGAAGGCTTCCTGGTGCTGGTCAACACTGAACAGAAGGCCTCCCCTTGGTGAGTCGGCCAGCACTGAACAGAACGCAGCCCCTCCGCGAGTGGGTCAGCACTGAACAGAACGCAGCCCCTCCGCGAGTGGGTCAGCACT